CTCCTCCAATTCCAACATTATCAGAATTACAATCCAGTATGTACGACAGTGAGGGATTTGGAAGCTTTAAAAGTGGAGCTAAGGCAAATTTTTCTTTCAATGTCTTGAAAGTATGCTGGCAAGAAACTGTCCATTCAAACTTCTGGCCTTTGTCAAATCATGTAGTGGAGCAGCTATAGTTGCAAAGTCCTTCACAAACTTCTGGTAATAGGTACAGAGTCCCAAGAAACTTCTTAACTCTCCCACATTGTCTGGTATTGGCCAATCACATACTGCTTTCATCATGCTCACTTACAATGAGACCCAAGTAAAGCACCTCTTTCTGGAACAAGTGCCATTTCTTGGGATGGAGTTTGAGGTTTGCTGCTTTCAAATGCTTGAATACTTCCTCTAGCTAGGATACTTCCTCATCAAATATTGCTGCAAACACAATGACATCATCCAGGTACATCAGGGCTATCCTCCATTGTAGGCCTCCCAGTACTCTTTCCATCAGCCTCTCAAATGTTGCTGGAGCATTGCTAAGCCCGAATGGCATCACACAATATTGCCAAAGACCTTGACCATGACTAAATGTAGTCTTAGGTTTATCTGCTTCAGCCATTTTCACTTGATGGAAACCTGACTTTAAGTCCAAAGTTGAAAACCACATGGCTCCACTTAGAGCATCAAGAGTATCATCAATTCTTAGCAGTGGGTATGAGTCCTTTTCGGTTATACTATTAAGAGCCCTGAAGTCCACACAGCAATGTTGGGTCCCATCCTTCTTCTGGACTAACACGACGGGAACTGACCAGGGACTATTCGATTTTTCGACTATCCCTTCTTTAATTAGGCCATCCATGACCTTTTCTATCTCTTGTTGCTTTGCAGGAACTATTCTTCTCGGAGGGATCTTTATTGGACGGTGATTGCCTGTGTTTATTCTGTGCTCCACAAGGTCTGTGCAGCAAAGGTCATGATCTCCTTTTGAAAAGACGTCTGCATAATTCGCCAAGAGTTCTCTAACCTGAAGAGCCTGTGATGATGACAAATGGGCTATGCTCTTCTTATAGAGGTCAGTTAAATGTTCTTGGAGAGGATATCCTTTCTTTATGGTTGTATTTCTTGCCTTAACATTGACTAGCTCTACCTCCTGGCACACACCCAACAATGCCCATTCCTTAAGTGTCTGCTCACATTTAGAGAAATTAGCTACTGTTGTGGGTACTACTTGATGACCTGCCACAAGTGACCTTCCAATTGTCACGTCTGCTGGCCTGGATGGGTCTTCCACTGCTTCCACAAGCATCGGGCTTCCTTGGGGATGTTCTTTTATTCCACCCCAAATTATCTTCTCTGACATAGGGGTATTGTAGTTGACTTAAGTGCTGTGACATGCAAATCAACAGAAGCAGCAACATTTACCGGAATTGGGTCTTTGTTGTTCCCAAACGTCATTTTTCAAAGTTAACTACACACTTCCTCGGTAGTAAGTAGTCGAACCCTAATAGTCATGGGTATTCAATGTCAGTCAAGTATACTTCGTGTCTGTCCTTTATGCCCATGAGCTCAATAGTTACCCACACTAGTCCCCAGAACCTTGCATAATGTCCTGTCATACCACAGAGCTTCTTTATGGTTTCTT